AACATCAACTAGGATTTTTATAATAGTTTTTTTAGGTATTTTTCTAGATTGTCCTAAATGTTTGAATTATTTCCCTAGAATATTTACTTTTCTTTTAGTATCATCATTTCCACAGCCTGCCAAACCAGGAGAAAGGCAATAATACACTCCATGTTGTCAATAGCTTTTTGAATAGTGCAGTGATGTCATACTGTAGACACACTCTCCACTCTTTGGTAGACATCTCCCTCAGTCAGAGGGTGCGTGTCCCTACCGATGCCTCTCCGTGTGCCTGCACATCTCGGGATGGGAGCCTGCTGCTGCCTGTCCCAGGCATGGGGTAACACCTCTCCCTAGGCTTGGTGATGGGGCAGCAGATGTTCTTGTAGCATCTCTCTTGGCTGTTAGGAGCAGGGTTGGCAACACACTGGTGTAAACATCAGTGCTATGAGCTGAGATTTCCTCCTGGAAAGGTCCTACAGGTTTTTAGCACAGGGCTGAGTGTGTAACTGCAGTCATAGGTGCAGGTTTGCAAGCTCAGATGGCCAACAAATGCGAGAAGAAAAATCAAGGAGTGCATCATCCAAGTGTCCTGTGCGACAAACTCTTTGTTCATACAGCAGAAATTAGTGCCTTAGTGGCAAAGTGGCCCTCAATTAGGTTTAAGGATTAATGGTTTTCTTTCCTGCTTCATTTGTATCTTGGTACCATGATCTGCCTTTCTTCTGAGAAATGTTTAGTGGGAAATATCAATTAACACATTTATCATTTAACTGTAGAAGTCATTGGCAAAAAAATCCCCTCAAGTTTATATAACAACGTGTATACAATCAGTTAAAAATCAGTGTGAAAACTGACTATTATAAATGAAACAGAAAATATCTGAGTTATCATTATAAATACTCTTCTTTACCACTGATGTGCTGTTTAGTGATAATTGTTTTTGTCATTGTTACTTTTGCAAAATTTCAGCAAAATATCAGAGTTTAAGGAGAATTGGTTGCTTAGTTCCAGATTAGTGTGCACAGTTTGTTAAGATGCCCAGTACATTTCTTTTTCAAATAGGTAGCACATTGTGTTCATGGTTTTTATTTTTCAATCTAATATGACTGAAGTGCTTTAGAGTTTAAATGGAGTATGGAGTTCCTGGCTTTCAGCAAGCACTAGCTTTGAGTGTTGGAGTTTGTACAGGATGTTCTATTCATATGAATCTGTGACAATTATTACTTTATTTTAGATTTCCTGGAAGTTTTGGTTTTGTTTTCCCCTTTTTTCTGTAACTTCTGCAAGTGTAGATTTTTAAAAATAAATTTCAAAATTTGTTTCATTCAATAAGTAAGTTCTGATAAAAATATTTCTTATTCAAAGCCCAGCTCTTTCCATGGAACACTAAACAAAACACACACCTGGCTTAGTGAACTGGTTTGCAATTCGTGAAACTCAATTTACCTTTGGTCCAACAAAGTCTGAGCAAAGGAAACGTTGGGTGATGGCTTCACCATGGGATGTGACCACACACTTCCCACCATGGCACTGCTTCAGGGCAGAGCTGAGAACATTTTACAGCTCAGATGCACATTATGTTTTCCCTTGTAGTGAAATTGGTAAGAAACCACACAAATAGCACAGCACTTGATGCAGGGCACTTTGTGAGAAGAATGTATTGGTAAGGGGAGACTGATGGCTCTGCCTAATCCTTTCCAGTGAAGAAAGTGGGCAAATGGTTGCTGTGCCCTCTATAACGAGCTGATTTGCTCTCTGTGACTGAGGCTGTGAGCCCAGCTGTGTCCCATAATCCACCAAAGCCAGTGAATGTCTCACCTACCATGTCTTTCTCCCTTTTATTTACCACTCTGAAAAAAATATATAGCTGTAACCTCCTGCTTATCCATATTGACCTCAAAAATAATTCAAAAAATAACAGATATTTTCATCATCATTATTACACTAGTCTGACTACAGCTTTGAACTTCTTTGCAGAAGAGAGGAAGTGGCTAGGACCATGACAAGATACATGCAAAGAGTGAGGTGGAGAGATGCATAGTATTTATAAGGTATAGGTCAGTTCATATAGAAGCTTTCCTTTCAGGTTTTGACGGCTGACTCAAATGCCCAGTTCTTCAGGTTGGCCAGAGTCCCTCTGCCTACACTGTGCTACAGCACAGAGCACATGGATGAGAGCAGAGGGACCACACTCCTGGACCCTGCATGTTCCTCCTTACCTTCACACATGTTTCATTGGTTCATAACCTTGAGGAAAATACTTTTCTTGCCATATGTCCTCCCAGTCCTCACTGGCAGTGAAGAAGACAGCCAGACTGCCAACCAGACGGACTTCACAAGGGGTGCTCACAGCAGTACTGGTGTAGCTGTATAGTATGAGGGGTGAAATCAGTGGATTTGCAGCACTGTAATGGATGGATAATTAGGCTCTAATCATCCACAGCTGCTAACCTGGTCAGTGTAACCTTTATTTTACTGCTGCACAGGACCCACTGATCAGTTGTCTTGTTGTAGGGTAACCTTATTAATGGATATAATCCACTTCCAAACAGTCCTGCAAGCTAGAGTCAACGTGGCACTAATACTGAGTAATTTAGGTCTTTTCTATCAGTGACAGCCTTTCCTCTCCCTCCTTCAACTAATGACTTTGGCTTTTTCAGAGGTCAGAAATACTTGTAGGAAGCACTTTTAGCTGCAGGTAGCCTTGGTGAAACATGCTAGACTCTGCTTCAGATCCTCTTGGAGGTTTTTCAAAAGAGTGCCCAAGAAAATTACATGCTTGAGCTTGGTAATGAGAAAGAAGAAGAGACAAGACAGGGTGTAATATTCTTTTGTGTTGTACACGTGCAGAGGAACAAAATGTAGAGATAACTGTGATGGAACATGTCATGTCATGGCCAAGAAGTAGAAACTGCGTATTCACAGGTTTCACATGGGACAAACGTGAATGGCTCAGGACCAAGGGGCAGAATCACTGAATAGCTGGCTGTCACAGGTAGTGCCTCCCTTTCTTGTGATTATTTACGTTACATAGTGTAATTGTTCAGCAAAAACTCACAGTCTGTGCTCTCCTATATCTGTTGGACAGACCAGGGAATGCAGCTGCAGATTAGACACTTGTGGTAGTACAGCCGCCAACTAACTCGTGCTGCTATTTCAGGAGGAGGCAGGGTTTGCTCAGATTATGCAGGAAAAGACAATCTGCATATCTAACTAAATGTCAGCTGGATGTGGGGAAGACTGTCCCCTGAGCAAGAGCAACCACAACTTCTAGAGGTTCAGCAGTCTCATGCATCTCCAAATTGTGGGTGAAGCTCCAGGCAATTTTTAGCTTTTCAGAAGATTATATAATGACTTGTTTAATTCAGCAGAAATGCATGTCCTGTGCTGACCTGTGTGCCTTTGCATCGTCTTGCATGATGGATCACTGGCAATGCAGACTTTGGTTGAAAGGACAAGCTGTGCCCACAGAGAGTCTGGTTCCAAAATTATTAATTTCTGTGTGGAGGAAAAGGTATGTGTCAGATCTTGGTGTGTGTGATAAAACATCATGGTCTGCTGGGCAGCAAGAGCAGAACTGAGTTCTGCTCCAGTTCTGACCTCATCACCCTCTGCTATGTATTGCTTCACACCTTGCTGTGACTCTGTCCAAGATAAAGGAGGAATAATATCTGTGGCTGCAAAAATTAAGAACAATCCTTGAACAGTATTTCATTGAGCATTAAAAGTGACTTCCAAAATACTTGTTTTTTTACAGCTTTCAACCATCAGAAACTTTCCAAGTGTAGGAAACCAACTGGAAGAAGTTGGAAGTGAAACCAGTTTTAACTTAATATTGATCAGTTGGTTAAGGTTACAGAACTAGTATGATAGCCTTTCTCTTTGTTTAACTCATGTTTATGGAGGATCTCATAGCTTCTGTCTCTAATCTAGTGATGGAAATGCGAATGTAGGAGCCACTTTGGATGGCATTTGTCTTCATGCAAATAACTGAATTTTCTTTCAGTGTGCTTGTGGCAGAAACAAATTGCTGTCTCATGGCCCCTGTCTCTAAGAGTTGCTTGTTTTCTGTACTAAAATTAGACTTCTTCTCCCACAATGTCCATCCTAGATACCTCTGGGATGGCTTTGACAGACACAAGTCTGCTTTACTTTGCAATGGAAGAAGGCATAAGGGAGTTCAACTTCTGCTTTCATAGTCCCACAGAGAAAGGTGATACTGCTCACCACCAGCAGTAGTCACAACTGAATGGGGTTTTAAAATCTGTAGTAATATTGATGTTTTCTTTAAATGAAAAATTTAAATACTGTGAAAAATAGTATATTGTGATTTTTTCGGTTGAAATTTCGTTTTTAGCTGCCAAAAATATGCATATGCTTTCCAGACAGAAAATCCATTATTTCCTGGAAACCTGAAAGTATTTATAGCACGAGGCATTTCTACAGGCTGTTCGGAGTCCTGATGAAGAAAGCTTTGATCAGCTCCATTTTTACTTCTAAACTCATATAAAGCAGAAATGTTATTCTCAGTCTCTTTGGGACTCTTCCATTGCTCCTGGCTGAGGCAGAACTTCCAATAAAGCTGATGACAAATTTTCCCAGTAAAAAAGCCATTGGTTTAAGCATGTCTCATTATAGTCATTGTCTCATGAGGATGGAAACAGATGAGCATTGAAGCACTACTGGGATATTTCAAAGCTCAGCATGCTCAGACCACTCTTCCCTTCTCATATTCTTGGCAACCCCATGGAGGCCCAGGGGGGCTTTATTGGGAACAACTACAGTGGAACGAGAATAGGGCAATCAGATTCTAATGAAAGAAGGATTTCTTCCAGGGGTTTCAGATACAAACTCTGCTGCGCCGGATGAAAAGTCATCTGTAACATCAACAAAGTTGATCATGTTATCCACAATAAATCGTTCAAAGCCTACCAAGGAACTACAGGTTGGGTTTTTGTGGTGTATGCACTCATGTGAGTAAGTCTAACTCAAAATGTCAGTGAGACCCAGAAATGTGAATGTTCATTTTGTTTTCCAGAATAGGCTACCAGATTCCACTGTTTGCTGGCTTCTGCATCATGTTCGTGTCAACAATCAGTAAGTGTCCACATCTTATTTGGTCTGGCCCAGTTGCAACCTTTAAATAAATGATCTATAATAATTATCACTATAAATTCTTCTTGCTGATGTAGAGGGACTGATTTCCAAGGAAAATTTAAGGGTGGCTGTTCCATGTGGATGGTGATGCCGATGGGATTTGACAACTATGCTTTTATAAATGTGCTTTAAGTAATTCACCACCTTCTGTCCCACCCCGCAGTTCTCTTCCTTAGCTGAATCTTTCCCTCAGGTTCTTGTAATCTGAAGTGGTGCTCAGACAGTTCTAAAGAGATAGCTGTGGGAGGGCTCTCAGCCATGAGAGGGATATCTTGCAAGGTCCTTAACAACTAGTTGTCATAGGGGCTTATCAGAAAGATCATGAGGGTGCAGTGGCTCATGAGTAGAATATGAGTCAACAGTATCATAGTTGCTAAACATCGCTGTGGGATGTGCAAACAGGAGCATAGCCTGCAAGCCAGCTGAGATAATTTGTCTGCTCTAATGGCATTGATAAGGCTTCAGCTGCTGTTTTATGTTCAGTTTTGGCATGGCATTTAAAGTTGTGGCCCAGATGGAAAGAGTACAGAGGAGAACATTAAGGATCAATAGAAGCCTGTGAGGAACGGTGAAAGAAGCAGATTTGCTTCAGACGGCAGGTGTAAGATGTATCAGAGTCTATGACAAAAAGGAAAGGAACAAACAGTTTTCCATGTCCACTGTAAGATGTATCAGAGTCTATGACAAAAAGGAACAAACAGTTTTCCATGTCCACTATACATAAGAGAAGCTTAAAACTGTACTGTCAAGGGGACTGAAGTGCTGGAGGAGATTACCTGGTCTCAGAGTCACTGATAACTCTGCATTTTAGGAACATTAGACAAATGTTGATTGGGATGGAGAGAAAAATAGTGAGCTGAATTCATGTCAGAGGGGAGTACTATTGATCTGCTGACATCCTTCCTTCCTTTATTTTTCTTGATTTTCTCTGCCCATGTGGGTAGGGATTTTTGTAAGACCTGGTGAAAAACCCCAAGAGGCACAATGTTGCAGGGCAGGTGGGAGCAGTGCATGTAGATCTTGTGTTTAATTGGTGTGTAACAGCTTCCCCCAGCTATAGCCTGTCTGGCAAAATTCCTTAGGTGGACAACAGGTAGGAGCTGAAAAATGTTTTTAAAACTTCACTGTAGATTTAGTGCCACTGACCATGACACAGGCTCTACAAGCAGAGATGTCCTTGGGTTTCTGGGACACTCCTACTTCCCAGTGTTGTGGGTGAGGAATTTAGCTGGACCGATGAGTGCAGCACGCAGGGTCTCTGTCCCAAAAGGCAGATAGTGGCTGAGAGTGAAGTTTGTGGTTAAATCTCTTAAGGAGAGATAGGGAGGCATCTCCTTTGGTGCAGTTTCTCTAGTGATCTGCTGTTGGGTGCATCAGGAACTTGCTACAGCTGTTGAAAGGGTGGAGCTGGCTTCCCTGCAGCTCCAGCCAGCTGTGCTGCACAGCATCCAGGGCAGAACCTCTCTCCACTCATTTACTTACCAGAGGAAACATCAGCACCTACATGCTTGCAGGTGCATGTGTGTTAAACCCTGCTTTCCCTCAGTGCCTGGAGCTTCAGCTGGGCAGCCTTAAAGGAAACAGTGTAGAGAGGCAAGGCTGGAAAGAAAAGTCTTATTACTCCTTCTGTGTGCAGCTGAATCAGAGCAGGATGTAATCAAATCCGAAGTAATTAGTTAAAACTGCTTGTGCGCTTGCATTCTGTGTTACCAGGAGGCTTAGAGACCTGAGAGCAATTCAACACTGACAAATCTAAATGCAATAAGAGAGAATAATGCAGTTAGCATTGAAAGTGGCACAAGTCACTGTAAACACTTGACTAAATTGTAGGAAGTTTTTGTGATAGTTAAAAGAAATCTAACTTTTTAACCTAGTTAGAGTTAACCTAATTTTAAAAATTTACCTCTGTTTTTTTTTCTCTAGTGTTTGCCTTCTCTGGAAGCTACACATTACTGTTCATTGCCAGGTCCCTTCAAGGAGTGGGTTCCTCTTGTTCTTCGGTGGCAGGTAAGAGAAGAGATGATGGAGTAAATGCAGATCACTGATTCTGTCATTTTTAATCATTTTCTGAATTGTATTTTGTCTGCAGTTTCAATAATTATTACAAAAATATTCAATTAAATAAATTTCACATTTTTTTCTGTCCCTTTTCATATAAAGTAGCTCAAAAGCAAATGTATTTTCAGATTTCCTTTCCTTGATGTTTGGGTTGAAGTCAGGTAGAGTGCTAAATGAATTGCACTCTCGATGGGATTTCTGCATCTGCGTCTTCAACATTTTAAATTTACTTTTAGCCATTTTAAAGGTCAGCGGGAACTTATGTTGGTACTTGTTGTAGGAAGGATAGCAGCTCTGTCTGTTACTGGAATTTCTGTTATAAAATGTTGTTTTCAAGGACTTACCGTGCTGTCTGCCTCTTTGGACTCAGATTACCTCTACCACATTTCCAATACAAGGTTATAAGCTTTAAATGAGTAGGTATTTGAAATGGAGTATGGGTTTTCAGCCCAAATTAATCAACCATTTCTGAGACAGACTGGAAAATATGTTTTGTTCATGTTAGAACATTTTGCAGTCTTTTCTTGGAAAAATTTCCCATGATGGCAGCAGAAATATAAATTTTACTGGAGAAGAAAGCTGAATACATTATTTTGTCAAGAATATGTCTTTTGGCTTCCTCAAAGAAATTCCCCCTCCCAGTTGGCCTGGCCCATGAGCAGGGTTCACACACACTCCATAGAATCCTAACAAGAATCTGGCAGTTGGATTCCTCCCAGGTTCCTTTTGCAGTGATTTTGCTCCAGCCCACCGGGCAGTACTGGTTGGGGCAGCTGGGGAGATGCAACAACCCAGACTGAGCATCCACACTGGGAGCAGGACGCACTTTATGCTTAAGATGGGTTTGAAGTTGCACAACAAGCACTAGCTGAGAAGAGAAATCTAAACTTGGATGAGTAGCGGGAAGAGTGGGGATGTGGCTAAAGGAGCAGGCAGGAGCTGGTATGAGGGGCCAGGGGTGGGGAAGGAAAGACAAGTAGGAGGGGTAGAGACAAGAAAAACCATCTTTTCTCCTGTACCAGTTAAGGTTACAAGTCAAGTTTTCCAAAAGGAAGAAATGCCAGGGTAAAAATTGTTATTCAGCTTTAACTCAGTCCCTGTTGATGTGTGCACCTTGAGATACGTCTCTTAGACAAGTACGTGACATTTTTTCATAGACAACCTACAAAATAGAGCAGAAAAGGCCAAGAGACCACCTAGTCCACCCCCTTCCTGAAGGAAGGATCAGCTTTGTATCTGTCATTCCTTATTCATGTTGACGGGCTTGTTCTCAGAAGCCTCTAGAAATGCCCTCAGCATCTAGCTTTGTGCTTAAGTACCTTTACTATTGGGAAGTTTTTTTCTGATGTCTCATCTAAAGCCTCTTTACGGTCACGTAAACACATTTCTGCTTCCCATACTTGAGAGAACATGAAGAACAATTTATTTTCTTTATCTTTGTGGCTCTTTTTCATATTGCAAGGCTATTATCACATCTCACATCATTTTTCTCCGCTCTGGTTTTAAATTAAAAGTCCTGCAGTTCTACCTCACAGATATTTTTCTAAGCCTTTTCTCCCCGTCATTACTCTTCTCTGGATAGTCTCCAGCCACCCAACATTTCTTCCTGTTTTGCACCAAGACCAGACCCAGCACTCAGAAGAAGCTCTGACTCCTTACAAGGGCCAACAGCAGTGAGATTCAATTCACATCTCTCTCAGGCAAAGGAAGGTTTCTGCAGCGTTGCTGCCACTCAGTCGTGTACCCCCCCTGCATTTGTGCGTGTAATCATTGCGACCTCAGTGCAAAACTTTGTGTCATCTTCTTTTCATTGCCTTCTGTTTTTTTTCCAGAATATTTAGCCAGGTCTCACAAGTGCATTGTGAATTCTGATATCGTTCTCTAACTTGCTCTTCAACCGTTCATGCAAACAATTTGACGTCATCCACAATTTTTTTAAGCATGTTCAGCCTCACGGGACCTCTGGTCTTTTGCTGCACATGGTGAATGATATTCACTTAATCATCAATCATGCAATATTTTATCTCCTTTTTCTGGCTCACTGTATAGCTGTGGACCCTATTTGCTGATTCCTATTTAAATCTTGATTTGAAAACAGAATTATTAATTTCTATGAGGACTCTTCTGCAGCATTTACCTCTACAGTGTCTGAATACTTCACAGAAAACACAAATAAATGGAGATTCATGTTTCCTTTTGTGAAATGAAGGCTCATCATCAAATGCAGAAGTGAAGCATGTGAAGATAAAGGTCAAAATAATCCTTCAATTTTGGATGCTGATCTTGAAATACTGATTTTCAAAGTAGTCAGCTCTGCATAATACTTGATACCCAGAGCACAGGCAGCACTGGCCACAGCTACAGCTGGGAGTGGTCACCAGACCTTTGTCAAGTACCTGGAGTATAAATAACAGATAGTGAATACTTGTCAAAAGCTTTGTTTCACCTAGTTGAAAAGCATCATCTAAAAGCTCCGTGAAAAAGACAGGGACAAAGAATCTAGCAAATGAGGGCTTCATTAAACTACCTGAGCAATACTGTATAATAGCACATGGTCTTAGAGACAATTTACATTTGCCAAACCTCCTTTTTGTTTCAAGGTGAATTCCATGTGGAGGGGACATATATATATATATATATGTAGTGTGTATTTATATGGATAGAGATACCTGCTGTCATGTCATGTCTGCATAACGTTTAGAAGGGCTGGCAAATGCTGACTATAAACTATAGTACACAGCTGCCTAATTTTTTGTGTTGTGCTTTTTGTTTGTTGTTCATTTTATTTTAGGGATGGGTATGCTCGCCAGTGTATACACAGATGATGAAGAGAGAGGCAACGCAATGGGAATTGCACTAGGAGGCCTTGCTATGGGAGTATTAGGTCAGTGGGATGGAGGCAACGGAAACCACCCCCCAGCCTTCCCCAAAGCGTGTACTTGTGATCTATGAAAGCAGCAGAAGAGTCTCATCGAGTGCAATGTTATTGTGCCGTCTCCAGATTAGATTCCTGGTGCATGTTAAGAATATTTTTTCCCACAGAAGCACATTTCTTATGTGGATATGTAAGTCAGGCAATGATCTCTGAGGTGTTTGGGTTTTGTTTCCATGGAAGAGTATTTTGGGGTGTGAAGAATATAGTTATTGCCATGATCAATGAGCTTAGCTTTGTGTTTATTTATTTATTTATTTTAAATTGAGCTTTTTGATCAGTGAGTACCAATAGCAGGATGCCCAAATGCTTGCAGGGGATGTTTGCTCAGAGTCAGAGATGTGGCTTCACAACTGTGTTCCTTCTTTCTCCTTGACAGTGGGCCCACCTTTTGGGAGTGTCATGTACGAGTTTGTGGGGAAGAGTTCTCCTTTCCTGGTGCTGGCAGCACTAGCTCTGCTAGATGGAGGTCAGTAAATACAAAGAGTCAATATCCCCATGTAGCACATCCCTTTCATATTAATACCATCTAACCACTTTCTTGAAGAAATGTTACAGTATTGATTTCTTTTCTCAGCTGTTCAATTATTTGTTCTCCAGCCATCCAGAGCACAAGCAGAGGTAAGTATTAGGATAAAACTCTCTAGGCAATGGGTGACACTTTGCCTTTCCTAATCCCAATTTTTTTTGGTTTATAGAGTCAGAAGGGGACACCATTACTGACACTTTTGAAGGACCCGTATATCATTATTGCAGCAGGTACCAGTTATTTTTTTATTTTCTTTAAACCAACCACTGGTGTTATACCTGCCATCCTGGAATGATCAGGCTGAGCTGGTTTAACAATATTGTCATTTGCTGGTTTCATTTGTGCAAAGCTCAAAGAAAAAAGTTAATCTGCTGCTAATACACGGTGACTATACCAGTAGAAACCTAACAGGCACAAAGTTTGAAATGTAGGTGTCTTACCAGCTGAGAGGACACCAGTGACTTGTACCTGCTTGCTAAGGCAATGAGGTGTGGCCATGAAACTTTCTATGAGGCATGTGAATAGGGCCAAGGCTTTCGAGGGGGAGGGATTGCCAGCCCATCTGGCCAACCCATTGCCAAGCCCTGGCAAGCACAGGGAGTGACACTGAGCTTTGTTTCCATTTGAAAAGAGAGGGAGTTTGTTCTCTACAGCGTGGACTATACTTCAGGAAAGGTCTGGGCTGAATGGTTGAATGGCATTTGGTGTTACATGTATTGTTTGTCTAACGAGTGTTTCTGTCTCAAGGGAAGTTGGCCTTTTTGTGCTGCATTTTGTTGAATGTTTATTCTGAAGTTGTAATTAAGCCTGGTCCTTTTTAATGTTGATAAAATACTTGGAAATGGATAATTACTTTCACAGTTTTGCTTCTTAGTCCTAACCTGCTTGTCCAACAAAGCAATTCTTCCAGGCATTTTTTGGGTTCTCTGTTTCTTGGTGATCTTAGGGAATTATCATAACCTTAACTCTGTGACTAGACACTGGGTCAAACTGTGACTAAAGTAATACAAACACTTTTGCTTGAGAAATTCTTGGAGCATGAGAAGATCTTTCCATGGAATAAATGTATTTGAGGGAAAAGAGTAGCAAAGACAGTACCTGTCATAAGAGATCAGATCTATCATTCATCTGATTCAGTACCTTGTCTCTTACAATGTTTAAAGCAGGTGCTGCAAGGTGAGGTTCATTGAACATTTTTCTCCAGATATCTACTTTGTATGCAACCCCTGTCAAGGTCTGATCTGTGACTGAATTTGGTTTGCACCACAAAATGTGACAAGGGGACTGATTTTAAGGGGTACTTTGCTTGACTAAGTCTTAGTTGCTCCTTCCAAGCTTAGTCTCAGCCAAGGAAGAGAAAAGGACCATGGATCCCACTATTCTGACCATGTCCCACGTCTGCTGAGAGCAGGGATGGACTTTTTTCCAATTTTCTAGCACATTTGCATGGCATTTGATTTCTGCAGCTATTCTCTTCTCTGAAGCTGTTTCAGCTGGTGTTTTGGGGCTCTCTAAACCAGGGCTGCACAGACTCAGAGCCCCAAAGTGGTGAAGACTCAGGGATGGTTAGCCTGGAATCAGGGCAGTGTGTGTCAGAGAGACCTTACCTTTACTGCCCTGGCTCTTCTTGCCTCTTGCCTCCCTGCACATCCTTGCAGACACTGCCAGTGCCTCCTGCTTCCCCTTCCCATCTTCGATCCAGTGCAGCCGGACACAGCAGGAGGCAGGGAAAGGAGGGATGTATGGAGGGGCAGAAACACAAAGACCTTCTCTGCTCTGATCCCTCCTGCTGTCACCAGCTGCTCTGGGTGACCTGTCCTGCTCCCACCAGGCATCAGCACTCAGGATACGACAAAGTCCCTCCTGTGGGTTACTGGTGGGGTTAGGTACAGCACCCAGGGTCTCTGCCTCTGGGACTGAGACTGCTCAGTGCTTTGACACCACAGATGGTGCTGATGTTCTCTAACTTCAGCCTCTCCTTCTCCTGCTTTACTTCCCTTGCAGAACATAATTTGGCTTTGTCAGAGCTGAACACCAAATAGCAACTATAAATTCAGCCTTTTATCTGGCCTATGGGTGCACAGCAGTCTGAATGCAGCTCTCCCGATGCATCAGGAATACAATGCTTAAACGTTAGTTCCTTCAGTTCTGAAGCTGTTGCTTTTCCACAGTGAAAAAGGTCTGAAAGTTTCATTTGCTCTCCCTTACCCTAGGGAGTTCAGTATTTTCTTGGCTTTATTTTCTAAGATGGGAACTTCTGATCCTGGTGCTAACAAGGAAGGGTGGGTAAGAAGTTGGTTGGGAAGGCACAGTTAGCTCTGTGCTCTGACACCTTGGGGCAACCAATTAAGGCACCATGCCACATTTCTCCATGTCTAAGCCAGGATAATATGTCTTCTGCTTCACAAAGATATGTGAATGTACATGTCCCACATTGTATATGATCAGAAACAATGATTAGACAGAAGGTCTGGAGAACAATTCTTATGAGGAGTGGCTGAGGGAACTGGGGTTGTTTAGTCTGGAGAAAAGGAGGCTGAGGGGAGACCTTCTCATTCTCTACAACTACCTGAAAGGAGGGTGTAGAGAAAAGAGTGTCTGTCTGTTCTCCCAAGTAACAGGACAAGAGGAAATGGTCTTGAGTTGCACCAAAGGCAGTTTAGATTGGATACTAGGAAAAAATTCTTTCCTGAAAGGGTTATCAGGCATTGGAACAGGCTGCCCAGGGCAGTGATGGAGTCAGCATCCCTGGAGGTATTTAAAAGATGAGTAGATGTGGTGCTTAGGGATGTGGTTTAGTGGGCACAGAGGTGTTGAGCTGATGGTTGGACTTGATGATCTTAAAGTTCTTTTTCCAACCTTAATAATTCTATGGTTCTAAGGTTAAAAGTCCTGTTGGGTTTGCACTGCCCAGGGAGATTAGAGGTTTTGAATGGCTTTGAAGGCAGTTAACAACCTCATTAAAAAACTGACTGCATCTCTAGGGGGCTGACTTGTTAACCACAAGTAAAAGCCAGGGACATTTTATGCAGGTTGCAAATGGGCTAACAGTTTCACTGTTTCTTGCACTCTTGACGTAGGTACACTAATTTGATGGTATAAATTCAAATTCAATCTCCTGAACATGTGTCATACACTTCAGTCATAATTGTATTCTTAAAGTACAAACACTTTCTGACCAATTTGGCTTCTATACCACGGTATTACTCTGTAATACAAGGGATCTTGAACTCAAGAGTGGAGTTCCTCTCTCTTCTTTCTGAAAGTATAACCTTTTCCCTTGACAAACCCATGTTAACCCATCAGTTAATAACATTGACTGTCACAACAGACAGGAGGCCAGTGCTCTCACTCACTCGCTGTACGTCACAGTCCCTATGTCCAGTCCTACTGCCTGGTCACCCTTGGTGCCAGCAATAGCTATTGCAGGATGTGCTGTGGCCGTTCCTGTTGAACAGGCTCTCACCAGTCCAGGTGAGGAGGTGACAATGATGTGGGCATCAGAGGGACAGAACCAGATGAGGCTGCTCACTTGAAAACCTCTGCAGGAGAGAGGGAATGTGAGCAAACATAGACTCTGTTTCCTCTGTGTGTCAGAGGTGATGCTTCAAAGTCGGTGCCATCGGCACTCACTGACCCAGGCAGAAGGAATGGTACTGACATGTTTTGTCACTGCTGGTAGGAGCTCAGTGAATGAAGTCAATGGCATTCTCACAGCCAGACCTTGCTGACAGGGATTAAAGAAATGTTAGGCGCTGCTGGCTGACACATGGACAGACAAATTAGTTTAAATTATCAGATCCAAAACCTAGAGTTGAGTCAGATTTCATTGTGAGCACATGAGTTCTTGAGAAGGTGTGTGACAGCTTTTCACTGAGCACCTGCTTTTTCACAGAGAAATACTGATGATAGCTACAGCACTCTGCCAAAAGCTGAGTGAGTTCTTAGCTGTGGAGATGGGATCCAGCTGGAAGGTTGCAATTTCACACCTTCTGGCCAAGGCAGAGCATTTAATATGATTTAAAGAAGAAACAATATAGGATTTATGCCTTTGAGCCTTGGCCTGTTAAAGAGAGGTCAGCTACATGCAAGACAGAGAAAAAAAATTCTCTTGTTTTGAGGAAGCTTTGCTAGGGTAACACAGTCTTTATTGCACTTTGCTCTCAGTTTGCAGAGTACCAGCTCAGGCTCTCACTTTTCTCTTGGTGTACATCCTAAAGATCTGAAGTACCTTTGTCACTCAATACCTGAGTGCTTTGGTAAGCTCTGGTGATGTTGCCTGACCTAATGAGTAGATGCCACACACGTGTGCACACACACCTGTTTCTCATTTCTTTGTGGAGTTTGTTAAGAGTGGAATAAGACCTTTGCTATTTAAGCCATCTCTGTTGGAATGGCTCTGCTTCCTCTGGCTGCACTTTGTGTGGCCTGAAATGTTTCCCAGCATCAAGGAAGCTGCTTGAGCATGGCTGGTTTTGGCTCAGAAGAGGGCAGCCCTGAGGTGTTTGACTGGGGCTTCTTACAGACACTACACCACTGGGAGCTTGTATCAGAGTGGAAAGGTCAGCTTTGGATCCAACCTCTTGTCTTTAGGCTAAAGCAGTGCTGAACTGTTGCTCCTTGCCCTGGGAAGGGAGTGAGCCAGCTTGCCTGCGAGTTCATTTTAGGAATCGTGGATACACAGTCTAATATACTCTGACAGGTTTGAGCAAAGAATGACAACAGTGCTCATTTTGTTTTGAACTGTATGATGAGGAACTTGTTCCAGGATAAATAATGTCTCTCTGATCTCAGATGAACTAAGATTTTTTTTTTTTTTTAAAGTAAAATCCAGATGGTAAATGACTAAGAGTCGAGAATATTTTCCTAAATTTTAGAGATTGTAAATATTGGGAAGAAAAATGGAAACACAAGTTTGAGGTTGTCACTTCTAGCAGTGACTTCCAAACTCCCTTGAAAGCCATTTTGTAAGGGGACAAGTAACATTGTCCTGTTACTCTGCATTAGGCTTTGACTGCCTCAGGGTCTTTTGAGTAAGTGGGAAAGGCATCTTGAATCAAAAGAAATACCACAGGGTTTAATGATTCCTGCACTAAAGTTGAAGTGCACCGAGGACAGAAGAACTTGACACAAACCCACTGGAGCCTGGATGTGCAGGCAGTGGTGTAGGGGCAGAGGAGAGCCAGCAGGCAAGACTGAATCAGCGCTTCCGCCGCTTGTTATCCTTCACGTCTGGGTGACTAAAGGTCCAGAAATTCAAAACTGATTTGGAAGCATTTGAAATTCATAGGGATGGGCAAGCTCAGCCAAACCCACCTTTGCTGCATGGACTTGTTGGCTGCTAGCTATAGGATCTTGACACAAAATTCCCTTTTGTAGGGGATAGACATCTCTGTGATTCTCTGGGTATTTTTAGGATCAAGACCTCCACATCTCATCGTAGTCATTCTCAGATGACGGAGTCATAGGGTTAGAGCCTGTGCCTCTTACACAACAGGGCTCTGGTTTTGCCCCAGGAGTCTCGATAAAGACCAAAAGATTGTAGTTTTAGCTAATCATTTGTACAACAGTCAGACCTCATGAACTTTCTAAATGTCATCAAGCTCACTGCAAACTTTCACATTATGAAAACAGCTTAACCTTTATTGTAGAACTTCTCGGAGAATAGAAATATATAGAAAGTTAGTCTTTGGTGACTTTACATTCTGTTCTATTTAACATCAATCAACATCTGATGCATGACAAATAGGACTAAAAAGTGCAACGTTTTATGTAAAAACATCCATTCTCTGCATGGCTTTTTGTTCATAGTCAAAAGAAATAATTACTGCTACTTTTTTTCCCCTCCCCTTCTTTCTCTAAGGATCGATCTGCTTTGCGAACATGGCTATTGCTATGCTTGAACCAGCTTTACCCATCTGGATGATGGAGACCATGTGTTCAAAAAAATGGCAGCTTGGTAAAGTACAATATATTGTTTGCATCTTTATTTTTTGTTTCTTGAGTGTCTCAGTTCTGGTCCTATTAATGACAGTCTCTTCATATGCTTCAGGGTAGTAATTTTTTATTTTTTTTTACTATCTTTTAATTGTCAGTGTTATACCTACACAAGTGCAAACACTGGTCTGTAAGAAAAGCAGGTAGTGGATTGATGTTGTTGCAAAAAGGCTCCAGTAAGGGGGTACGTTCCCATTGCCAGGAGAAATAGATGAGGGAGCTGCAACAATGGGCTTGTCCTGGCTCCTTTGGGAGCCCCAGCAGCACATTTGGCAGCTGCAAGTTGCCCTGTGAGCCACAGAGCAAACCCAAAGGGGAAAAACAATTTGTTTGGGGTTTTTCCCAGAGATAATCCTTCCTCAGTTCCTGGTTTGACTTGTCAGGAGCAGGCAGGCAGGCACAGAAATGTGCAGCAGGTGCAGTACGTTTGGTGCAGAGCCAAACACACCCCATGCCAACACATACTCCTTCCAGGACTGCTCCTGGCAACGTGTAGAAGAAGGATGGACTTTTCTTAAAATACAGCTATCAAGGGCATGAGGAGCATTTTCCCCTTGAATCTGACAGATTTTACACCCTTTCAATGGTTACTTAGTCATCCCATTCACCAGAAAGCAATGGGAGAGCCCCAACTTGGATCACCTTATAGCCTGTAACAGGGACCCAGTCTTGAGAAAACAGTGTCCACAGGAAAACTGGGAATTTGTTCCATGTATTAAGTTAGACTAGAGAGTAAAATTGGGGCAGTTACTTTCACTTTGAGGTGAACAAGGGTGGAGGGGTAACAGGGAAGAAAAATGGACTAACTTGCAGTGAGTGTCAAACTGTGT